ATGCTTTCCGTAACAAGTTCAGATTTCCCGTGTTCCAGCCTATGTCTGTTATTTCTCATTGTTCTACTGTGCACTGCTGAGATGAATCTGTCTCCATCTTCTCTGCACTCTCCCTTAGCTAGTTCAAAACAGTAATAATTAGGTGAGAAATATGTAGAAGGTGTGTGTCTGGAAAATTAATCTCAAAAGTGCCTAATGGTTAGCTGGACCAGTGAAAAACCAAGAAGTGTGTTTCAGGAAGTTATTTTAATACAACAAGAAAAAAGACAACTGAAAATATGACAGCAGTCAGTAAAAATAAAGTTCTGAAGAAGCTAATAAACTAGATACAGACATGTGTGGTGGTGTTTGTTGTTGCTGCTATTGTTTTTCCTGAGCCCCTGTAAGACTTCTGTAATGTAGCCAAGTATCTTTTTCTTTTTTTCTTTTCTAAGATAAATGTTCAAAGACATAAATTAAGAATAGTCAGCAATGTGATAAGCAGTGACTGAAAAAGAGTATCTAATACTCTCTTGTGCAGATCTAGAGACATATAAAGCTGGCATTTTATGTTAACCTGAGTATGTAGTATCAATAAGCTAAGAGGAAGTAGACACCTGAAAGTGAGTCAGCCCTCAGGTACCGTGTAAAGTAAGTACCCAAACTGCTCCGTCCAGTAGGCATCTGTAGAATAAAATCATTTGCGTAATTGCTGAATAATTGGAATGCAAAGCAGCAGAGGTCCCTCCCTTTGAATGACACTGTCTAAAAAGCACTCAGAAATTCCTGGTTTAGGACAGCAGGCGGGCTTTTGTCAGTGGGGAAGGGGTTGCTTCACCTCCTGGTGCATAACTGTCTCCTTTTTGTACCAGCATCTTTGTCTGGCCTAGAAAAAAGCTAGAAAAAGACTGAGGGAGAAAAAAAAGGGGGGTTAATTTACTTATCACTAAGGTATTCTGGTAACTTGCCAAAACTGAAGCTGTTGCTTGTGACGCCTCTTTTCTGACCTTCCTGTGTCACATCTAATACGGATTTTTGTCCCCCTTACCTGGGGTCCTAACAACTTGGTTTTACTCCTACAAAATTTTGTCTCCCTGAGCTTCCTAAATACAGTCTTGCCTTGCTTTTATCCATTCAGAACACAGTTGCAAAAGATTACTTGCCTGGCTGCGTCATCAATCAAATTGCTTTTTTTTTTTCTTTGCATGTCTCCACATTAAAAATAAGCTCTGTATATTTGTTTTAAGGGTTCTTCCCATCCTGCCGTGTACTGTTCATCTGTTACCCATCTGTCAGTCTTTCACACAGGGGTTTATGCTTCCAGTTTTTATCATCTGCTTACTAAATTTTTAGAGGGATATCTTTATCGTTTTTTTTCTACCAGGCCTGAATGAAACCCTTTTGGTACACCGAGAGATCACCTTTGCCTATTTTGAGTCTCTCCTTAGCGTTTTTTTTTTAATGAGTTCCCAATAAAGTTGTTAGGTTGCTTGTGTGTTTTAGGATCACTGTCATACTTATCCTTGCTGTTCTCTGTAGTGCTTACCATCACTTGTAGTCATCACTCTTATTGTGTATTGAAACTTAAAATTTCTTAGATTGTAAAGTTTCTAGGCAGTATAGTAATGTGAGTGATGAAAGGCACCCTATGTCTGCGGAGTTTTGGTTGAGTATTTCATTCAGGAGTGTGAGTAGCTATTCTTGGATTTATGGAACATTTTGTTGATTTGGGGTTTGTGGGGGTTTGTTTTGGTTGGTTGGTTTGGTTTTGGTTTGTTGGTGTGGTGGTGGTGTTTTTTTGTTGTTTTGTTTTGTTTTGTTTTTTTTTTTTGGGGTTTGTGGGGGTTTGTTTTGGTTGGTTGGTGTGGTGGTGGGTTTTTTTTGGTTTTTTTGTTTTTGTTTTTTTTCCCCCCAGTGGTGTAAAACAGGACAGGAGAACCTAAACCACTTGTTTGTCCAGTAGCTTAATGTGATCCTTCCGGCATTGCCTCATCTGGTTGTGGGGTCTTTTTCTAAGTGACTGTTGTTTTTATTTTGTTGGGGTTTTTTAACCCTTATTTTATGAAAGCTTACAAAATAATAAATGGTATTTTTTCAGTTGCATTACTTTTCCCACAGTTCTCAATAACAGCAGTAAAAATGATGGAAAGATTAGTCATTGGCTTAATAAGAAAAGCACTAGAAGTACAAATAGTATTTTAATGCACTCGTACACGCACTCGCTTCCCCTTCAGAATTTATTTTTTTTGATTATTCACAAAGAGGTAATTATCTTCACAACCTAGAGCATTAGAACAGGAGTTCAAAATACTGTCTTCTGTGTCATCAGCTAGTAAATACTTAACACTTTCCCTTTTCCCCATTTTCATTAAAAGATAATAATTTGGCCTTCTTCCCAATCTTGGCAAGACTTAAAGGTGGTACAGAACCAAAAGAGCTTGGTGTGTTACATAAGCAATTTTCTGAGTGAATTTTCTTGCTGTACTTCAAGACTACCTCATTTTTTAAAATAGTCAAAAAGGGTAGGTTCTGCAAAGCCTTAATTATGACTTGTGCCCAGTCCCACAAACCTCTGCATAAGGGAACAAATTTCCCTAAGAGCTTGATAAAGACACTTTCTTTTCCCCCTCATCTCCCTTTTCCTCTTTGAATTTATGGTCAATCCACATTTTTCATTATTAGTAGGTAGTGTAAGAAAAAGAGAAAAATGGGGAAAAGTGTTTACATGGCCTTATGAAAAGAAAATCTCCATATTTTGCAATGCAGCCAGAATCAAATACTGAACTAGCTCTTTGAACTGTATAGATTATTACTGTAGATACACAGAAAGCCACATTAATTTTTCCAAGATACTCTTAATTTTTTTCAAACTTAAATCACCTTTTCTTGCCCTTGGTTTTGATTTCATATCTTGCAGTGTAAAATGGAAAAAGAATAATGCATTTTAAATGGTAAAGTGTGGATTGTCCTGTTTCCCCCCCCAAACACTGGCTGCAAACTGCAGCTTCATTCTCTTAATAAACTTAAGGGTATGTATATTTTCTATTGTTTTGCCCCCTTGTAGAAGATATTCCTAAGTGTTACTGGTAAAAATCTTCCTTACTCTTTATAAATACTTGTTGTCCGTACATTCAGCCTTTGTACAAACTGTCTCCTTTATATCTCTAAATATTGAGAATCAGCCCCTTGGCTATGTCTCTTAAAAGAGACCTTGCCTCTTGCCCAATATTACTTGAAAGTAATATCTGAAGGGATCTCATGTTAGATGAAGATACTTGTATTTAGTTGTATGATCTCGTGTTTTGATTTAATAAAATGCTCCTTTTGGGTATTTCTTACAGGTATATCTATGTAGGTATAAATCTGCTTAAACATGGCATAACTGTTACTGAATTCTTGTGCATATCTGTAAACCTGCTCACTAGGATGATTATGGAAAGAAGGGAGTCAGCTATGCCTTTCATTTAGGCTTATAATCTTATGAGATTCTTAAGCATCTTTACCGCAAATAAATAGATTTCCTCAAATAGCATTGGGCAGGGAGTATGATGAAGCTTTTAAAGCAATCTTTCCCCTCTAAGAAAGGTAATGGGCAAATTACTCTGGTTGTCTACAGTATCACTTTTGGGAACAGCATTGTTAACTGCAGAGTTGAGTTTTGTTGAGAGCTGGCTAAAGAAGTGCTTTAGGAGTTCATTGTTTTTCCGTTAGAGAGCGTAGAGAACTATTACTTGCTGCCTGTTTTTTAGGCATTTAAATTTACAGCTGTTTATCAACAGACTTTCCTTATTTTACACTCGGGAGCCCCAGGTGACTGGGTAAGATTTTCCTATAGAATATGTTTTTTCCAGCAGAAATATACTAAATTGTGAAACATTAACTTTTTGAAAATACTCAGGGTTCCCACATCTTTTAAGTTTTTCTCCAAAATCTGTTTCTTTTACCAGTAGAAGTAGCGTTTCAAAATGGGATTTGCGTATGCTACAGTGTACAGTTAGCTTTTTTCTTATAAGTGTGCATATAGTAACAACATTTTTTGAATTCAGTTAGGTTCTTCTAGATTTTGGTAACAGAAATATTTCAAATCGTTTTAGATCATATACAGTTATTAAATCTGTAGCTGTTGTGGTACGCAACTTACCCGAGTAAAAGAAGAATATCTAATTAAAAAGTGAGCACCCAGTTGTAGGCTAAGGTTGTGAAAGCTTAGTAGGCACTACAGTCTCTTTCCTTATTAAACGGCTTAATGTTAGGTAAAAGATCCAAAATCACTTTTTATATTGTGACATATAGCTGTAGTATAGGAAAGATAATCAGAAAGCTTTTGGCTTAGACGCCGTTTGGAATTTCTAAAGAAGCAGCTGAGAATTGCTTGGAAGATTCATGATTATTGACTGGCATTTAATCTTTGTCTACTTCAAAATACGTTACTCTACCATAGTTTGAAAGGACTTTTCATGTAAAAGAACACCTTAAAAGGTACACCTACTAAAATACGCATTGTGTGTCTCTTTGCTCAAAAGGCTATCGACGATCACTTTTTTTTTTTTAATTGCTGAAACCCAGCAGCTCCAGTATGAGCACTAGCGTCAGGTATTGTGAAGTACTCAGAGTCAAATAATACAATACGTTTATTCATATGTGCTCTGACTCATGATTTCTAGTTAAAGTGAATATTTAATACTTCTCTGTTTTGTGACAAAACACTTTCAAAATGGCTGAAATGCTTTAATGCTTTAGTAAATAGTGCTGAGAGTGTTCTTAATTCCCTTTCATAAAGCTATTTAAGTAAATAAAACAAGGGGATTTTATGTGTCATTGTTAGCACTACAATTTATTCAGCCTTATTTATTAAACTTGAATCTTTTTATTGTCCTCTATTTTCCTTAAATTTTGGAAAGTATGGGTTGTTGCAATGTATTTCACGTTGTAAATACTCTGTTATGCTTCTAAAAAGATAGGTATATGAGCATGCTCATTTAATAGTTTTTTTTTTTTTTTTTTTTTCTTTTCTTTTCCAGTTTCTCAAACAATTAGGTATACATCCCGACTGGCAATTTGTAGATGTTTATGGTATGGAACCAGAACTGCTTAGCATGGTGCCAAGACCTGTCTGTGCAGTGCTACTTCTCTTTCCAATAACAGAAAAGGTAAATGTTTATTTTTTTTTTATATTTAATGAGAATGAACAGTTTGAAGCTTGTACTTTGGTGTCATAATAGAAGCAAGATGAGACTCAAACCTTATTCAAGAGACTTCTTAATTAAAACCAAAATTAATAACAAAATGCTTCCTTCAGAACCTTCTTTTGATAACCTTGCATTTATATTTCCAATTTCTTTTCAAATTGGAGTAGGAAAAGCTAAATTAGAAGCACAGCCTCACGTTCTTCTATTACAGACAATTTAAGGCTTTTTTTAAAATATGCACTGTGAAATGGCTCAGTTCTGCTGCTTTTAGCAGGAAGCTACAATAGCATAAGCAAAACAAGAGGTAGGGTGTAGGACTATAGTAAATGCAACTCCTATTTGAGTTTTCATACTGTTGCATAGACCAAACTTCAATCCACTTTCAGTTCAGTCATCAGTACCAGTATGGCTTTCGCTTCTTGGACCAAAGAGGCAGAGAATTCCCCCCCCCTTTCTTTCTTGATGTTAGACTTTGAAACACTTGATTTGGTTAAATCTTCAAGTCTTCTTATTTTGTGTCATCATATGCTTTTGCATAGAGAAGACATAATCTTGCAGATTTACTTCCAGCTTTACGTAGGTTGAAATGTGTGATTCATATTGATCTTTCAATTTATAAGAATCTTGTGTGATTGTGATAAGGTCAGTCAAAAAGTTTGAGGTGCATCTGCCCAAACTTTTTCCTTTTAATGTGTCTCTCAAAAAGAACACGTTGGTTTATAAGGACAAAGCAGTTGGCTATTAAAACTTAACTTCTGTAACAAAACCAGTTTAAATAGAGAGAAGAGTGACTAGGTCAGTCCTCTTACTCATTAGGTCCTGTAAACCTTTGCATTCTCAGTTTCTCCAAAACAGCTTATGCAGGCAGTCCTTTTCAGGCTTCATTTCAGCCACCTTGATAGTTTCGAATTTAAGCAAACTCTTAACTGTCCTCACCTGTCTTCAGCAAATTTCCTTTCTGTCACCTTTGAGGTGTTGTTTTCTGTGTGCTGTGGTTTCTCTCTGGCTGCTTGGGCAACAGGTCTGAGCTCCTTCTGTGACTGTCACTTTTCTTTTTCCTTCCTGCCTGTGCAAACTTCCTTTCTTGGATCTTGCTATATGGGAGCATCATCCCATGGGAATGAACAACCTCCCTCTTGTTCCGGAGGGCGTATCCGATTTCATCCCGAAGAAGCATATGACAAACAGAACCAGAGAAACAGCATGTGCTCTGTTGCATCGATCAATCAAATTTGACCACCAGCCAAATATTTAAGATTTTCTCCAGCATGTTAATCCTTCAGAAACATAAGGGACGCAAATGTTTCTATCAACTGAAGTTGATATCGCCTGAGTGTGTGAGGGCTGAATCTTTCATGTGAAGTCCCAATGTTCTGAAGCTTTTGTTTTTCAGTGTGAACTCCACAAGACTCTTGAGCATTATTTTGTGTTTCTGGAGTACTTTTCCCCTCCTCAGTCTCCCTTTCAATATGGCTTGTTATATTCTGCTTTAATTTATTTGTGTTTCTTGGCTGTGTCTATGTTTATGAAAGTGTGCCTCAATTAATTTTTTTACCTTTGTAAACAATTTTCTATCCTGTCTTTATTCTTCTGTCTAGAAGTTCATTTATTTCATGTTTCCTATACATCAATTTGCTTGAACTTGCTTTTAGGGCAAGATGCTCTTGTTAACATATAGATAGTCTTAGGGTTATTGCCCAGTTTAAATGACTTCCTTAGTCTGCATTGTGAGTTCTAGACAGAGTGAGTACTGTGAGCGTTGGGTTAAGAAACAATATAGAGTGATTCAGTTGAGTAAGTTTACATATACTTGTCAGAACACGTGTTAAGCATTTCAAATTACAAGTTGAGTTTTGGTTTTTATTAGTGAGCTGTTTTTTTTTTTTTTTTAAATTGTTTTTGCTTGAATAATGTAGCCAGCATCTATTTGTACTATTTGTGAAATGTCTGTAATTTTCCTTCTAGTATGAATCCTTCAGAACCGAAGAAGAAGAGAGAATAAAAGCTAAGGGGCAAGATGTGAAATCATCAGTGTATTTCATGAAGCAGACCATTAACAATGCTTGTGGAACAATTGGGCTAATTCATGCTATTGCAAACAACAGAGATAAAATGAACTTTGGTAAGTTCTGTTGGGTGGGTGGGTGGTTGGTTGGGTTTTTTTGTTGGCTTTCCCTTTTTTTCCTTAACTGTGGGGAGGCATTGAGGGAAGGATACATTTTTATACTATTTTCTCTGGATATAACCATTCATAAAGGGCAATATCTATTCAAAGAGCATTTCTACCTGTAATCATGAAAACAGTATTCATACTTATCCATGAACTAAAGCACTCTAAACGTTGCAAACTGCAGCAGATAACAAGTGTCTTAAAGATATGATGTAATTATATCTTTTAAATCTTTCATTGGATATAAGCCTTCTGTAAGCTTTGAGTGAAGTTGGAGTTAAAGCATGACTCTAATGATGTCTTTTTTTAATTTTTTTAAGAAACTAATTCTTCACTGAAAAAGTTCCTAGAAGATTCATTATCTATGACTCCTGAAGAGAGGGCCAAATATCTAGAAACTTATGAAGTTGGTATCCTGTGTCTTTACTTTTACTTAAAATGGTGTACGAATTACTTGCATGAGCGTGTACTGTCCTTAGGACTTGATCCAGGAAAGCACTTTAACAATTCGATTTTACGTGTGAGCTTGTGATCAGACAGTTGCTACAAAGAAAACTGTGCTTTGGTAGTTTAAAGTATTCCTGCCTGCTGATAGCTCAGTCAGCGGAATGGATTTTGTCAATGTTCCTCATCCATATTAATTCACTGGCTTAGTTTAAAATGACTTCAAAATGGATAAAAAGTGTGTGCACAATCTTTTTGGTGGGTTCAGGATGCAGTTTAATGGTCAATTTAAGCTGATCTGGGGCTATTGCTGAAAGGATGGACCTTCCACTGCCTCCTTTCATTTGTGCCTTCTAGTCATCTCTCTTTGGCTCAGTTTGGGGCACACAAAGAGCTGATTTGGCTGAAATATAATCTTCTTCCCCCGCACCACCCCAGACAGTTGGATGAGCTAGCTGATAATGTGATTAGCCAGATCATTAGTGTTGTTTGAAAGGATGCAGCAGAAACATCTGGCCAGTGGTGGAAGATGAGAATGGTGCTATTGCTCCTGATGGTAATGATGATTCTCTCTCAAATGAAAATCTTAATAATTTCCAAGACTTAGTTCAATTTAAGCTTATTGTGAATCCCTCAGGAATAAGGGTGTTAACATGTGGCTGAGGAAAGCAGTAACAAACAAACAGGAGTGATTCGATGACATTTTTCTTTGGATATGTTGGACTCAAGATGTCTGATCAGAGCTTCCAACTAAAGTATTTTGTCTGCTCAAGGAGTGATATATAACAATAACACTTGCCTGTAGCATTTTCTGTGTGTAAAAGTGCCATTACAAACTGTTAGGTATTTGATTTGAAATGACTGTGATGAAACTGAAGTATTGGTCTTAAGCAGAGATCATTTGTTTACTAATTTTATTTATTACAAGCACTAAACAAAAATAGTTACATCTGTGGCTTTTGATAAAATGAAGAACATACAGTTATTATTAAAACACTGGAATTCTCTCTTTTAAAGTCTGATTGAAATATGTTTTAATTTTAGGCTATTCGTGTCACTCATGAATCCAGTGCCCATGAAGGTCAGACTGAGGTATTCATTTTTAAAAAAAATCCTTGTTAATAACTACTTCGAGTTGAATATCATTGAAATGAAAACAATTCTATATTAAAGGTTTACAGTGAAACTGAGATGATTGCTTGGTTTGCAGTATTGTGTCATTAGGGCACAAAATCAAGTGGCATTGTTGTGAGGAGAACCAAACTTGAATCTTGTTTGGGTTTTTTTGGTTTTTAGGTGTGGGGTTTTTTTTAAGTTTTTATATAACATGGATGGTCTTTTCAAGCTTTATTCCAGAATAAAACAGTCAGTAATAGTATTTTTAATGAAAGTTGAGGTTTTGATGGTCCAAATTTGTAGGTAAGACTGTAAGATCCATAGTAATCGTACAAGCAGAACAAACATTTTATGAGATTCTGAAAAGTTTCTCTTCAGGAAAAGAAATATTACAGTACTTGTTTTCCCATTGTGTATGTGCTGTTTGTACACAAATACTAATTCAGATAAATTCTCACTAATACCTGTACTTATAAGCTTTTATCCCTCAACAGATTGGGTGATACAAAAAACCCCAACCAAAAGAACCCCAACCCCCAAACCAACAAAAACCCTTAAAATAAACAAACTTAACATTCAACATCTTTCTGCTTCAGTCATACTAAAGCAGTTTCCCATCTTTCCAGTTCAGATTTCAATATTTGTTCCACAAGAAGAAAATTTATTAGATTGTTGCTAGCACTGCTTTGTTTGACAAATAGAGGAACCCTCCTTTGGCTGTGACTCTAGTGGCTCATCTGCTTTCTTTTCTTTTTTTTTTTTTTTTTTAAGTACAGTATGTGAGGTTTTCTTTCTTTTTATGGCTTGTGTTGTGTTTTCTAAACATTGCAGGAGAAAGCAAAGCAGTCCTTTCTGCTCCCTCTTGCCCCACCATCTGAAAAAGAAAACGGAGAGAATTGTTTTAACCATTTCTATTATAGATACTCCACTTCCTTTGTGATATTTTCTTTAAAAAATCCCCCACCACTCTTTCTTCTTATCTCTTTCTCTAAATTAATCAAAGTTCTACATTTCAGGAAGAAACATCAGAACAAATTCATATTTGTCTTCCTTTTCCAAGTGAGAGACTCCAAAAAATCTGGTCTGTTTTCTTTACAAATAAGTCCTTCTCTAGATATTCTTGGCAAGGTCAGCAACAGAGAGGCTATGGAGATTATTCCTACAAGTTGCTGAAGACCAAAGCTTTTTCTAAGATCCTTGTGAAAAAGAAAAACTTCTTTAGTTGTTTTGATGTACTGTGATATTCATCCAGGGAATGGTTTGTCTAAGCATTCTTCTTGCAGAAATTATGAAATGATTGGGAAAGAAAATGCAAGTGCTGTGTAGTTCCTGAGAGTCTTCATAAAGATTCAGGAAGCATCTAAGTGATGGTGGAATCCCCTAATAAGAGACAGTTAACTCCTTGAACTTCAACAATTTAATTTCCTAATCAAGATAACCACAATACAAAAGTTCAATAATCGTGTGGAAAGATTAAGACTTTTCTTCATGATAAAAATTTACAAGATTGTCTTAGCAACTATGTCTAAACAAAAATATTGGCTAGGTAGTAGTTTCCTTGTTAAATATTTATTATTCCATTTTGCATAACTGTATTTGGATGTAATTCAATACGGATATTCCTTAGACTGGTAAAATAACTTTTTCCTGTCTTTCTGTTTCCAAAGTTGAAATAGTACCATTGTTGAATACATGCCCTAGGACCTTTTTTCAGAATCATTCTGAACCATTGACCAAGGAGGGAAGAAATAAACAAGTTATCTTACTGGGATATCTTAATTGCCTGAAGATCCTGTCCTACCATACTGCAGTTAAATTGGCAGCAAGGCCTCCCCTTTTATCTGTACAGGAGGAATTGCTTTACTTTAAAGTACAATTCTTTTTAAGTAAAACAAATTCTGAAATGTGAATATGCTGAGAAGTGTAACTGAGAGTTGGAGGAAGTTAATCTCCTAGTCTTTTTTCTTCCCATGGTACACTTTAAATGTTGCATGTAGTGGTGAAGGGACTGATGAACAGCATGCCCTTGAAGGTGGTGAAGTTAGCATATGCAGGTCATCTAAGGATGTTGACTTGTCCTGAAGGGTAAGTTGATAATTTCTAGCACCCTTGGAGCAGGAGAGAAGAGAATCCCATTCCTCCTGCATATCTGTTATTGTTAGGATTGCTTTCCTGAGAATTGAAATTTCCTTTCAGAGCACTGGAAAGGAACATGTTTGCCTTCCTGTGACTCTGTTGGGTTTTTGTTCGTTGTTTTTTTTCTTCTGAAATTGTTGCCTAAGCTCAACTGTGTTAGGCAGAATAACTTCCAAAAGTAGGATGTATGGCAGTCATCTTTGCTGATTCTGTTAAGAAGCTTTGTAACTGCTTTCAAGATTCTATTTTTTCCTTCTACCATGCAAAACACACCATCATGCCATTGAGATAAAAGTAAAATTTTCTGGAATATTAAGATATTGAAGGTTTAAAAATAGCAAAGAATACAGACAGGTTCTCTATTGAATATACTTTTTTTTTTTTTCTCTTTTCTGGGCTCTCGTGTCTCAGCTATTTGAAGATTCAGCCTTAATGCTTCTAAGTAAAGCCTTTACTTGTTGATTGCTCCAGACAGTCTTGCTAAGTCTTCACAAGCTTTTTTTATCATCTCAGTGGCTACTTGATTTTTACAATATGCTAGTGGATTTTCTGCTTTTGTTTCTGTTCCATGTATGTGAGTATTTCAAACCTCAAAATAAAGCAAGTCTATCTAGAAATAGGTTATAAGTAATAGAGTAAAGCAATGCTATCTTTTTAGTGTCTGTGTATTCCATCTATTTGTCTTGTCTGGTGGGTAGAGTTTGTTTCTGGTTTAGGATGATCTGTAATCAGATTTATTTTTTTTTTAATTTCTTATGTTCTGAAGAAGAGTTCTATTTGGGGAAAAAAGTATTTGACAAGATATTACTTGTATAACTTTAGCGGACTGCTAGATTCTACATTCCAGTTAGTGATCACTGGAAGAGAAGAGTTATGGTGATCAGTTTGCTTCTGGGATTTATCATTAATGTGTGATCTATTTAGATGAAGCATTACAATGAATTGCAAAGCAAATGGATTGAAGCTCAGAGCTATAGTGTTCTGCCCTGGTGGGTGCTGTAATGGGCTTCCCAAGTTTGATAGCTGCGATTAATTTGTCTAGTTTCAAAAAAAAAAAAAAAAAAGGCTGTGTTATACATAACTTTTAGTTTATATAACTTTTGGTATTGCATTTAAAACTTTTACAGGCCATCTATAGACTGGATTAAAACTGAGTATTTTGAGGAGGTTTTTTGTATTAAAATATGTGATGTTTTTAATGAAGTTTACTGAACTTTTATTAAACAACTTAAAATATTTTCTTAAAAATAGAGAAGCCTTTTTGTTCTTTCAAAAAGATTAAATTTAAAGAACAGTTAAGCAGTTTTCACTTTGCTAATTCATTTCAGGTTTGCAAATTAAAAGAATTGTATATTTGGGCTTATCCTTCAGGCCCAGTTTTGGACCAGGTTTGATTCAAGTCCTGTGCTAAGACTCCTGGATTCTGGGGCTCCATGGCTCACTTTTTTGCTACAGTAAAGCAAATAAATAGATAAAGCAGTCCTATAGGTACTTCTAAGTGTAAAAAAAAAATGTAGGTCTGTTTAAAATTACTTCAGTAGCAAGCAGTAAGATGTGGGAATAATTCCACAGAAGCAGCGTGGTGTTGGTTTCAAGGGTGGTTTGATTCTGGTCCCATATTCCAGTACCATAATGAGGGCAATTAATGTAAGACTCTTGTAACAGTCTTTCTGTTAAACTTTATGCTGCTGAAGCTTACACTGTCTCAGGTGACAGGTATTTCATATCTAAAGCTGCCAAAAAAGGGATCTAGGTCTTTACGATAAAGCTTTATGGTTCCAGCTCGCCCTCCTTTCTATGTGATAGCTCCTGAAAGGCAGCTATTGCTGAGGCTAGGATAGTTGCCAGCTATTCGAGATCACCTTTATTCTTCTGTGAGTCTACTGCTGGGTGTATACTTTTGTTTATAATATCTAGGGTGTCTGAAGATGTGGAAAATAGAACCTGCTTCTCTGCAGAACTGCACACACTTTTAAGCTGGCCCTTATATCGTTGCTTCTTAATGAGCAGTGTTTGAGTTTTTCTGTTTGTTTTGCATTTGTTTTTTTCTTTTTATTTTTGTTCTTCCTGTGCTTCCTTCAGCAGCTCATGAGCTGCTGAAACCCTGCACTACCACACATCTGAAAATTTGGTAGCCTCTTATAAAAAAACAAACACCACCACCACCCCCAAAAAAACCCCACAAGCCTTCAAAAATATTAAAAAGACATTACTTTGTGGATGCTAAATCATTAGTTATCTATCTCATCCACAGTGATCATTAATGAAGAAGTTACGGCAAACTCTGAGGGAGGAAAAGTAGCAATTAACAGCACTGATCAGGGTTAAGTTCATATCTAACTTTTTGTATTACTATCTTGGGTTGCTTTCTTTCAAAGCAATCATAGTAACTATTTTCAAGTAACCAGAAAATCTGAGGGGAGGGTTTTTTGAAAACAGGAAAACATCTCATTACATGAGAGAGACTTCCAGGTCTAGAGGCTTTTGCAGAGCAAATAGCCCTTTTGAATTTGGAATTGGTGAAAAAACTTATTTTGTATCCTACCTACTCATTTTCATTAATAATAAAAAGTTCCTGTATAGTTTTCTGAGTAGGAAAGGAGGAAAATGCGAAAGCACACTTGTTATAGAAATAAACCCGTAGAAATTGTTTAACTCAATTAAACAATGATATACTCTGATAGCTCGAGGGAAGTTATTTCAGGTAGAAAATACTACCTGTACTGATTCTTGAAATAAATGACCTGCTTAATATGTGAATATAACAATGTGAGTAGCAAGATATTTTTGTTCTGCTCTCATTCACTGACATCCATATCCACTACTTGGCCACTATGCTT